ATGAATATCGCAACGAATCAATGATGGAAAGAAATCGTGGACGAGAATTGGATTACTTTTTTATATATCACTCTGAGATTCATTGAATCGACTAGAAAGCGAATAAAGAGAGACATATAGTTGATTCTCGTACGATACTGGCACGGTTTTTATCTTATATCTTTTTTCCGTAATTTTTAGTTTATTTTTTCATCGATTTTCTCTTTACTTTTCACAAAAATGAATAACCGCATGAATGACCACTTTATTCATTTTGTGTCTTTATAATATATTTTTTAGTTCTTTCTTTTTTTAAATAGAATTTTTTTCCTTTATTCTATTCACTACAAAAGTTTTTATAACATTGTTAACAGTTATTAATTCTTATTTTTATTCTCACCGTGAATTATTTCAAATAGTTGCGTTTACATTAATATCTCGCATTTACTTCACTTTAATAGAATTATTTGAGAAGAACATTAAACTAGAAGCAAGAGATTTAAATTTTCCCGTAAAAGAAATTTTGCAGTTATACTCGTATCTTTTTGTTTCAAAGTAATTCACGATTTTTTTGTTCGTTATTTCGAAACAAATCTTTCATATATTTCAAAACATATATTCAAGGTCAATTACGTTCAAGGTTGCCTCCGTTATTTTAACACATTTTTTCTATCTCTGCTGGACTATACGAACGTTCGTTCTATCTTTCGACGGCAACATGAACTTTCCAGCCAAGTGACTACCATCTTTATTTCGCGTAAATTCCGATACGAAACGCGGCTTCGAAACCCAGCTCTCTCGCGCGCTTTACTCCGACCCGCCATTCGCGAAAAACTTCATCCCTTTCTCGCAACTATTCCTCCGAGCGCGCCTCTCGCGGTGGCTGATTTTCAATTCTCCTCTTCACGGACAAACCGCTTGCACCACCGACTTCCTGGTGCACTCAAGCATCACCGGCGTTCCCGCCCTCCTTTTCTCTCCCTCCTTCTCTCACCGGCAACCCTTCCCGTCATTCCACCCCGGCATTTTTCCCCTCCATTAACCGTAACTCTTTAGGCGATTCTGCCGGCGTCGGTGTAGTTATTCGGACTGGAATTTCTTTAGATTGTTAGAAAACAGGAGGCGGCTGCGTTCCAGGAACGTATAATGAAATCAAAATCCCCGCCGTCTTTTGAGATTAAAAACATCACCTCGCTCTCCATCCCTCTCTCTCTCTCTTTCTCTGTCTTACGCTTTCTCGCTCTTCGTATACGACGAACTTTGCTAAAATTCAAGTTAAACTCGTTGCAATCTGTGAGTCTTCTATTTTGTCAGATTGCGGACAGATTATCAAATAAGTTTACGAATTAAATAAGACGACGTTATAGGATGAAACAATTTTTCTCAGGGGAAAGGATTTAATAACGAGATTTGGATGAGAGATTGTGGGATGAGTGATTTTTCTGTGCTTGTAGGTCAAATAAAATATCATTTGAGCGACAGGAAATAATATATATTGTATCTTCCGGAAACAAGGTCGGTGCAAGGGGGTGACAACAAATCTGCGAATATATTCTCAAATTGGATTGAAACCTCTTGAATTCCTCGTTCTTACGTAGTAGACTGATGTAATAAAACCGACCATAACTCTGGGGACGTAGAGCCTCCTCTTCGCGTTTTCCCCTTTTATTTCAACTTCCCTCACGATCTGCCAGGAAATCGAAACTCGGAAAAAGATCTCTAAGATGTCATAAAATTCATATCTTAGAAAAATTGCGCGATAGAGCAAAGAAATATCGTCAGTTAAATTTTATGAATATAGTTGCTATGAATTAAATTTTTCCAAGATCTTAATGTAAAAACCATAATAAATGGAGGAGGCTAATAATCGGATGAGAGATACGAAACAGAAATAAAAAAAACGAAATAAATCGAGAATAATAATCCGAATTAAAAAGCGCCGATCACGTTCTAACGATGAAGTATTAAGTCCGATGCATAAGAGACGAAATGAACCATATATTATTTACGTGCGACTTAAAATGTGTGCATCGTCTCTCGTACTATATTTCTAATCCGGCTTCTCGTAAATACGGTGCGTCCATAATCATAAAGTGTCGGAACGGACAGTTACGAGAGCGCCATTCGCTGAATTGCAACGCGATCGGTGAACTATCGGTTTCTCTCGGCAGGGAGGGATGGAATGTTTGCGTGAGAATACGCCGTGAGTTTGTCGAGCTCAAATTGGGAAGACACTCGACACACATACATACATACATGTACATACATATTATGTCAATATCGAACGACGACGCACGCCAGTGAAGAGCGCATCGCGATATGTAAGGGATAGAATTTCGCTATTGGGGCGGAATATTCTCTCTTTCTCTATCGAGCAAGACCCTTTATTCCCTATCTGAGACGCCGCGAATAATGGAATACGTATGTCTATTGGATGTACGTAAGAGGGACAATGCGCATAAATCCATTTTCAAGTTGATAGATATGCAATGTGCTCACGAGACGCGGCACCGACTGAAAACGGATCGCTGACCTGTTCTATTGTTGAGAGGCAGCTTCTATTATAGTTACATATGCGGGAAAATATATTTGCAACACTTTTGATTCAAGAATCCGATATACGGGATCAGAATAGCGCGCGCGGTACTTATTTGAAATGAGATATTAATTAGAAGTTTGGGATAAAGATATAATAATAACTGTGAAAATAACAAGTTATAATGATAATAGCAATTTTAAACTTTCATAAAATTGGATATTTTCTTATAACTGTGGAGAGGAGAAGGTACGATAATAATTATGAAAGATACAAATATCAATAATTAGCAATATATAACTCGGAGAGAATAAATTATTCTTAAATTATTAAGAAAAATTATGGAGAATTTAAATAAATGATTAATTATTTTTTTCAACGACGAATCTATAGATATTTTTATTTGTATTTTACGTATACTTTATAATTTTTGTAACAGAACTGTTACTTGTCACATTTTAATATTCTAATCTATTGGCAATATTTTACTTTCGTCTAGCTTTTCCTATCAATCATGCATTATTGAATCAATACTGTGGCAATTATAATTACGGATGATTAATGTAAGTTATTCTAGCCGTGGGCCCCCATTCGGTAGCTAATTGGCGCACTCGTGATTATTAATGATAATGTTACAATCAATCATTATCACCAATTTTCGCGTAATGTACAACATGGAAATTTTAATTTTTGCGTTAAACTCGCGAGACAATAATTCGGTTGTGCTTCATAGGCACCCTTGCCATGATATTTGTGCGTAATAAATGCATTAACATATAAAATAATTTTAACTATATATCTACATTAAATCTAATATGACTATAATTATCTCTTCGAAAATAAAATGAATATTGCATATTTATTATTTATTGTATATATTTATTCTATCATATTTTTATTTCCTCAAAATAATAATAAATTGCAAATATATTTAATTTTTTAATTTAATTTAATGCGAACAACGGTTTCTGCGAAAATATGGAGAAAAATCTTAATTCAAACTCATTAAATATTAAAAAATGAAGCGAAAGACGCGATTTATGGGTCGATATTTTCATGCTCTGGTAACGAGCAGGAAGTAGCTGAGGCAATGGAACTTCCGGGTTAAGTGGATGAGAAAAGTTTCCCTAATATTACCGGGAAGTAAGAGAGAGAGAGATTGATCTGCAGGCGAGCTCATCGAAGGGATTAGTCGTAGCCCTGGCTAGTCCCGTGCGATTTTCATCAGGTGATGGTACTTTAACTATAGATTAAAGGATTCGTCTGGCAACCTGAAATGAGATCCACCTTCCCTATGAGACCGAAAATCCAAATCAGCTGAGAGGGGAACGCGCTGAAAGGGAGATACGCTATCGACGACGAATTTACGGGTATTTGGAAAAGATTCTATCTTGATAGAGTTCCCGTGAATGAAACTACTCGGGAGCATTTCCGCAAAATGCTACACGGTACAACAAATTGCTTCGAATGTCTTTTTAAGATACGAATTTACTTTGAAAAATTTTGTAAAAATCCGTGAAACATATAGCATACATAAATTTAGCATTTTTAATGAACCTACACTGATAAAAAATTTGTTAACTTGACCTTTCAACTAAATTACTATTTCATTAATTGAACATATATATTAGTATTTAAGTCAAATATACGTGTTTTATTAAATTTAATATGTTATATTTAATTTAAATATTTTTATATGTTTAATTAATGAAATATTTAGTTGAAAAATTTAGTTGAGTTAATAAAGTTGTTTTCAGTGTATATTTTTTTTAGAATAAATGATGCATTTATGTTTAATCGCATGCAATCATAATTCTCGGCTAGCTTGCAATTCGGTGCGCTATAATTATTACAAATCGCATACGTTAACATCGAATTCAATTTGCAAAGAGCCGTAGAAACTCCATCGATAACCGACGAGCTGATGACTCTCGCGAGAACGCGAATGCCAGGAAGCGCCGTTCGACATTATCGAAGCCCACGATATCCATCAACCTAATGGTCTCGCGGCTAAGGCGAACGTGTAAAGCTCATTAAAAGCTCGTTAGAAAGCCGGTGCACCGGCACGGTTCAAGTAACGTGGACGTTGCTGCCGGGAAATCGGTCAGAAAAATGGTTGCTGAATACTGAGGGGAATAAAAGTTCGCAAAGATAAACTGGCGATTCATATACGACTAAAAATCTCTACTTTCTCTCGTCAAACAAGTATACGTTTGCATGTTTTATGCAACAGTGCTAAACTTCCTTAAACATTTTTGTCTCTAATTTTTTGTAAGATTTATTCCATCGCATAAAATGTTCGTGCATATGCTTTTGGGGGAACATTTATATTTTTTTAATCTACATAAAAATAAAAATGGCGTGTTTAGGAATAATTATTATTTTTTTTTATAAATGCTAAACTATATGAGCGCGAATAATAGTAAAATATAAAAGATGAAAATAAAAATACAGTATAATTCTCTATTGTAAACTTTTTACTTACCTGAGTCATGGTGTCGCCGTTGACTTTCAGTTTAGATTGGAAGTTGCTCTGATTCAGGATAATCTTTGCGTTATTAATGTATACGTCTACGCCGTGCTTTCCTGGTGCCCTAGTGATCCATAGAGGTGGATTGCCCTCCAGTTCGGAGGATATCGAATCCCTTAGCTCTTCGATCGTTAAAGGCCGATTCGCTGCAACCGATAAAGAAAATATCTTGTTAATACTTTATAAAAAGAGTATCTTGAATGTTAAAATGTTTCTTTTCATCGATACGAAGATGAATGCGATTCAAAAGAGCTATACTTTAATTCTCGTCAAACAGAAACGCGCAGATTGCGATTTAGTTCTTCGAGAACCGCCAAGTTTTTAAGTTTTCAGGAAGATTTTTATTCTCGGTAAAAAAGAATAATGTGCGGGAAAAGATAGAGAAAGGGAGGGAAAGAGAAAAGCTGAAAATAACGTAAATGGTGAATGGGACAGAAACTGGAGATAGAGCAAACTTCAAAAAGTCCACGATGCAGCTACAATGCTCGTCGCTTTATTATCCCGTTACTGAGAGAACGTCCTCGTAATCTTGCGTTTTTTCCTTTTATGCGAGCATATAGTAAGAAGTGGAGAACAGAAACGTCCTTGCTATTATTATTTGATACTGCGTGAAAGATGCAATTTTATGATAAAAATTTATAGAATTAAATATTATACTAAAATTTATAAACAGCAAAATATATATTTTTTAGATTGAATCCTTGAACTTTTAAATATTTAAAGTTTCGTATTCTTCCATTTATATTTTCACAATTTAATTTGTAAATCTTTATTACACTAATTCTAAATACAATTTCCTTTAGACGTTGTCTCTAATATTGAAAAGTAGTTCTCGAATATACATTAAGTTTCATAGAAGAGATAGGCTTTTCGAGATAAGTAAAACCGATAAAATTAGATATCTACAGTTAGATAATTTTATTTGGATTTTAATATAATTATAAGTGCCAGGTAGATAAATCATTTCTGTATTAAAATTTTTTTCTTCTCTGAATAACCAATCAAAATTAAAATCTCGATGTAATTTCTAATTTTTTTTCTCTAATCTTGGCACGAAAATCAGAGCGTCTTCGCACGTCCCTTTGGAGTGCGATCTATCGAATACCGCGGCAAAAGCGGCATTGTAGTTTCTAAGAACAGCCCTGCTCACGACACAAGCGACTCTGTGAGTACCATGCAAGCTCGGAAATTCCAATCTCCGCGAGGAAGAAAGCGGGCTGTCCGTAGTACCGACAACAATGACGCTCATTACGAACCCTAGGAATTGAGTCGCGTTTCGTAAACCACCGGTCGTTTTACCCGTAAAAGTTTCCGGGACAAGAAGAAGCAGTTGGCGCCGTAGGATCTCGTTTTCTCGGAAGCGCGACGATGATTCGGGGATGTCCTTGCGGGAAATAATTTTCCTCGTCCGCGGCTTCCCCGTGGAATTGCATTGCGGCAGAATACATCGCGTTTATCCGCGAACTGGAAATATTTTTCGCGTCCATTCGAATCGGAAAAAGGCAATTGCGATTAAACTTTCTCTTTTATTCCTTTGAATTCTCATATCCGCTTAACTTTTACCATTTTTTCGATATTTTTTTATACTCGAACAAACAATCGCGCATTGTTCTCACGTATATACGGAAAGATAAAAAAAAAAAAACTTTTTTTTAACGCGCGCAAGTATACTTTGGCGGTGATTCGCACGCAGAGAACTTTGACAATTCGCTGACGCATGCGTACGCATGCAACGCTAAAGCTTACGGTAATTGTAAAATTTATGTGATTCGCCCCGCGATATACATATATATATATATATATAACGTACTCTTTCTAGACTCGATTACGATATCGGGAAAAGTCACAGTGCGGAGGATAACATTTATGATGGCAGTTCGGAACGTAAAACTTTAAAGCAGTTGTCTTTTATACGCCGCTCACCGAATATTCTCCGTGATATACACAACAATTGCGGGATATATATAGAGGCGTTGGGCCGATCGATTGAAAATGAAATTTTATTTCGCAAAAAAGTATAGTTCACGATAACACGTATACTACTACTTGGATAAAATTTAACACAATGATCATAAAAAAAATTTATATATACTTGAACGATTTTTTTCGCGCTACACCTTATTAAGATAAATTTCTTTCGATACGCTACTCTTTTGGCGTAAAGTGACTTCTGGCTTATCCTGTACGTACAAGCTTGGAGAAGCTTACCGCTCGAAGAACCCATCAAGCCACGCCATATACTACACGCTTTTATATTTCCGTGACGCGTCGTCAATCACCCCAGAATGGTTGCATGTATGATCTTTCTTCCGCTAGGTGAAAAGCTTCAGAATGGGATACGCGAAGAGCGTATATATAAAAAGTATCAGAGTTTCAATATATTACGAAATACCGCGCATATGAATTTGGATTTTTGGATCGTATAAATTGAATTAATTCTGTAATTACTTCAAATGTATCAACTTGTTTTGGAAGGAAATCCAATATTTTTAAAATATTTCAAAAGATAATTTTATTTTATTATTATAGATATTATATTGGAAAATATTTCTTCTATTTAATAATTAATTACAATTTTTGAAAATTTTTATTATTTTATATAAAATATTCAATCATTATTCATATATACTTGTCGAATAATTTGATTCCCTGCAATGGAAATTTTTAAAAAAATTATCTCGGATGCATGTATTCCATACGGAAGCAGAATTTTTTTCGGATCGTCGAAATATTCGGTTGTAAGTCGTCGTGGAAATGCGAAGCACGTTCGAAAGTTGGTTAGGCGGCGACGAGCAGCGATCGCATTATCGATCAAACCCGGTTTATCGCGAATCGACGAATGGAGCTTTACTCGCGCGCCGGCTGGATTTTTATAGCGCGTCTCTCTCTGCCGGAGCACATTTTTCTTGTTGCGCCCAGAGAGAGAGAGTGCTTTATGCGAGGTGATCGAGTCGCGGGAATGATCGTATGCCTCTCAGAGGGTAATATCTCCAAGCTCGGGGGCTCGTGAGCGTTTTGTCCCGAGCAGCCAAGCCTTTCCGCTCTTTCAACGAGGCGACTGAATGATTAAGCTGCCGATCGATTCGCATTTATTTTCTTCTCCGAAAGCCCCTACCCGTCTGTCGCGGCGATGCGGGACACAGGTGCTACGGCCGACCACAAAACGAGAACAACCCGCGCAAAGCTGCTTGCGCATCGATTTATATACCTCGTCTCTCCCTCGGTCCTCTTTTATCCGCAGCTTCCACCTCTCGAGAGGGCGACGTCTCTACTCGTCTCTTCTGTCCGTTCCACGACGTATCCGAAATCCGACTTTCAAACATGCACGACGATTTCGTCTGATGAGGACGAACTGCGGGTTGCTTTATTCGGACTGTGATAAATGGTTTCGTGCAATAGTTATATATTGTATAGCTAGATATAGTTTCGTTATACTCTTTCGTATACGCAGGACAAAAATTGGTCTTAAGTATAGACTGAAAAAAATTTGTTAACTCGCGACTAAACCTTTCAACTAAATTATTATTTTGTTTATTGAACGTATATTAGTATTTAAGTCAAATACACGTTATTATATTTAATTAACATTATTTTTATATGTTCAATTGACAGAATATTCTTTGATTGAAAGGTTTAGTCAAGTTAATAAATATAACAAAAATAAAAACTGAATATATATAACGCTGAGACAACGAACATCTATATATAAATAAGTAAGAGCATATGTTTACAAGAGATTTAAAAAAAAGATTAATATTATTTATTTAAATTTGGTACAACCAAATTAATATTTGGTTATTGAGATCTTTATTTAACAAATTTAAAAAATTTTAAAATTATGAAATTTCTCAAATTTTTAATTTTGCAAGTTTAGTATTATTAAATATTGTGTGTGTGTGTGTGAGATATAAATTCTTCGAATTTTGAAATTTTTAAATTCCAAATGCATTTTTTATGCATTTCTATGCATTTATGATATTCTATTTATATCACGATATTGCTTTTTATACTATGATTTAATTCATTGCGAGTCACGTGATAAAAATTTACGAACAACTTGGCTCGTCATTATATGAGTCCAGCGTTGGATGCTGAATGCTCTACGTCAAAGCCTCTAGCAGATGCTATCATATGGCGCCAACTGGCGGCATAAGGCCTCTTTTAAAGCCAGTTGACGCATTCGGTATTCGGTTACAGTCGTTCACGCGTGGTCGTGCCGGGTTGTGCCGTGTGTTTCTTTGTGAAATAATTCGTTCCTCTTATCTGCGTCAGTCGAGACGTATATTTAAGACAGACACATATTCGGCACCAGCGTCGAACGCAAAATGGAGAACGTTTCCGTGTCCAAGGTAAATGATACGACGCATGCAACCTGTTGCTATTGCCTACTTAACCTCAAAAAGTTAAAGCGCGAAAATGATGCTATGAACGATGATGTATCAGTGAAAAATATTAATGTCTTTTGTATGTGTAACACTATTTTTATCTATATTTCAAAGATTATTTTTCTATCAACCTTTTTCAATTGGAATTGATTGTTCTAATAGACTTTAATTTTAACAAAAAATTATGTACATTAATACATGTAATATTTGTATGTGTTACATTGCAGTGATAATTTGTGGTCGATTTATATTAGCTGTATATGTTATATGCATATTAGCTTATACCTTCATATATAGTTTTATTTATTTCTGCAATTTGTGATCTTTATGTTAATCTATCATCTTCAAAACATATCTATATCCGAGATTAACTGTTAAAGTGAGTCAATACTGAAAAAAAATATTGTATAAATAATATATTTTACAAATAATAAATTTACAAAATTATTCATTTTTATGGCTGCTCCCTTTTCGGAATTTTTATCCTGTTTTTTTTTAATTCTTTTATTTATATGATATTCATTCGTGAAAACATGATTAATTACGTATGCACATGCACTAATCAAAATACAATTTTATAAAGTATTCCACATATTTTTCATGCATACGACATACATAACTTTATTGACTTTTTTGTGATAGAATGCGAGAATCACGATTATACAATTAAAAGTTTAATAAGCAATAAATATAATAAATAACTCATTTAAGAAAGTAGCATTATTAAGATTTTAGAGAAAACTTCATATTTCTATAAAATATTTATATGTAATTTAATATAAGTATAATTTTTTTGTTAAAGAGCGCACAATATACAATATAATGAAATTTACAATTTTATTATCTCTTATTGCAAAATTAAAATAATCACGGAAATTAATTAGTCGTATAAACTATCAATTTTTGTTAGCACGGAATAATCGTTTGACATCTCGTAGTACATACTTGTTATAATCGTGTCTCGAGTGATAATACGAAGTGATGACATACAAAGTATCTTGTGATGCTTCCTGTTTCTCCTTCGAGTCTCGTCACACGAATAATAATATTATCATATGTAAACAACAGAGCGCTATACGCCGAATTTTTAACGCGTTTAATGTGAATGAATTAATATGTACAGTCATTATATTAATTGCTAAATATGTTAATATTTATCAATGATGTTTACTATATAAATTCGGCGCTTGATTTGTGCAATGCATATTCGATTGAACTCAATCGCACGAATTGGCAAAATAACATATTTTTGATATCGTATTTTTTGCGAATATCTATTTTCAATTTTAATTTGTACATCTATTTACTTATGTTATAATTAGAAATGGTACACAATTGCCGTAAAATGCGTACATATTATTCGTTATACAGAAAATGTATTATATGAATTCGAACATAGGATTTTTCAATGTTGAGCAGATCGTAGCTTCGTATAATTGTGATTTTTACGTTCTTTCGTTGTAACATGAAATAAAATTGTATACAATTAACATCGGAGTGCTATATGTCGCATGATCATAATTAACCATGTTTTCGCGAATAAATATCGCATGAATGCCATGAAAGAGGATTAAACAAGAGAGAGGGAGAAACAGAAAGCTCGTGGAGGACATTGGACGGAATAACAATTGAAATATCATGGAATAAGCAATTTAAAATTTTGTTAATTTATTATTATAAATAAAATTATAAGTAGAATTTAATTGCTTATTTCGCGATAATGATTCACTTGAACAATTAATTTGCACGCGGAAAACATTTTAATATCAAAATTTTAATATCAGAAAAGAAATTATTTTTTAAATATATTTATATATATATATATATATATATACAGCTAATTAGTATCGCGCTGTTTATTTTAATCTTAAACTATGATTAAATTTGAGTCACACAATAATATATCTTTTAAACAAATAATTCAAGAAACATTTTAATATCAAAAGAGAGTTAATTAATTGCATTGACATTTATGGAATGATAGATGCTAAAATATTTCTGAATATTATTTTAAACTTACTTTGCAAACAAATTCATAAATTCTATTTCAATAATTAATTATTTCGGAAATTTGATATCAAGTTGATATAACCTTTTGCTTTTGATTATTTAATATTGTATAATTATAATATTCTGTGTTACTGCAACTATAAAAATTTTTTGTATTTTTGAAATCCATTTGTAGTAATTTTGAATTAATTAACAATTAATTTTATATTTATTCTTTCTTTAAAATTCATTATATATAAGTTTTTTTTAATGAAGATGCTAACATAATGTTAAATTAGCAATCTTTAATATTAATTTCCTACTAATTGGTAGAAGCAATAAATTAGAGCAATAAATTATTAGCGACAAATAATTAGGAATAAATTAATATTTAATTATGCTATATATTCAAATTGATTTCTCTCTGTGTGAATGCGAGCTTAACAAAGGTCCATTTGCAAATTGCAAGAAAAATTAATTATATTAAAATTTTTATCTTTTTAAATATATATACAATGTGATGTGTATAATAATAATTATAATTAATTTTTTAGTAAAATTTAATCACATGAAATTTGAAAATAACAAAGACAATAATATCGTTATTTCAATGCTAATGCAAAATAAATGTAGCATAGGTAATTAGAGTGCAGATATATTGTATTTTTAGGGCGTATTTGCATACAAAGGAAGTTATAAAATTGGCAAGAAGAAAAAAAAAGTCACATGTCCGGAATATCTTAACGAACCTTGGTATATTGCATATAGCAAAATTTGGAAATATATTGAACAGGCTGCAGAGGTATAGTATCATGCATTAAGCTCTATCCATAAATCTCAATTTAACAGAAGCCAGAGTACCTAACAGAATACGTTAATATTTCAGAATGTCAGATCCAAAATGTTTCAACAGGTTATGTCCAATTTGGAGACTTTTGTATCAAAAATAAAATCGAGCCCATTAAATACAACGTGCTATGAAATAGCTACAGCTATTTTGTTAACAGGTGAAAACAGATGTTCAACCTGCTGCAATTTTTATAAAAGATTATACTTTTATAAAAGATTATACTTTTATAAAAGATTATACTTTTATAAAAGATTATATTTTTATAAAAGATTATACTTTTATATAAAAGATTATACTTTTATAAAAAATTGTACTTTTATAAAAGATTACTTACTTTTACTTTTTCTCTAACACAACATCTAGAAATCTAAATGCTTGACAATCTTTTGTCAAATAATTTTTTTTTATTTTGAATTAATTTCGAATGATTGAGGGACTATATTTTTTAACGAATTAAGATAAATATTAACAAATAAAAATTATAACATTATAGGCGTTAATGTTCCCGATCACACGACACTTTTCGATACGACGGTATCTAAGCTTAGTAAGATAACACCACACATAGCAGTGTTATGGAGCAAAGACTGTAACAGTATGAAAAATATCATCGAAGATACTGTTTATCAATTTATTGAAAAATCTAAATCGGTTAGTTCGTGATAATATAGTCGAGTAAGAATTTTTTTTATTGCAATTTTTAAATCATAATTATCATTTATAGGATGATTCTCTTCAAATACGTAAAAGTCAATGCACTCTACGTGCCTTAAAAGAATGGTTTGCCGAATATCACAAGGATTCAGAAGATCCTTTGATTATAATTTTACCAGATTTTGAAAGTTTTTCCACTAATATTTTACACGATTTTATCTTGGTCTTAAGGTATTTTTTTTTTTTACTAATAATGTTTTAATCAACTCATAAAACCATAAATGCAAATCTTGCATGATCAATAACTTATTTAAACTTATACATGATCAAGAATTAAGTATATTGAATTATGTATATTGTATATTATCGAAAAATATTATTTAACAAAAAAATTTCGCAGTTCATACAGAAGTTCATTAAAGTTCGTACTTATATTTGGTGTTGCAACAACATTACATATTGTACATAGATCATTGACGTATGACGTCACGTCGAAATTAGTAGTGCAGGCAAGTTAAGCGAAAATGTTTGTACAAATCGCTAATAATATTTTCACACTTTAAATTATTTGCTACTTTCTTTTAGGTATTCCATACACAAACACAAAACAAAACGTTATCCGATGTACTAGAGAGCACTGTCTTCTCCTCAAAGATTCCATTTAAATTGATCGGTCGTGCATTTCAATTACTGACTGATATTTTTCTGTTCTATGATTTTTCGGTCGATAATTTTTTACAAAACTTTAAGGTAATAAAAACTGAAACAATCATGATTGACGAATCACGATGAACATCGACAATTGACTTATGAATTGTCATTTTTTTAGATATGTATGATACAGCACTTTTACGACAACAATATAAGCTCTCTTGTTGTAAACCGAAATACATAAAAGAAAGAATATCTGAACTCACAGATGAAAATATCGCAGATATTAAAAATTTACCATCTATTGCAAAATATTTAAAGACATCTAGCAAAGTAACGAATGGCGATAAGCTCAGCAATAAAGAATTTAAGGTTCGTATTGTTAGAACGAGAGTTACGAAGAAGCTATCAAAAATTATAGATACATCAATAACACACGTAGATACACACAAAAAAGAATATTTTTCATGTAATACATTTTAAGTATATATACTTCCGAAATTTTAATTTAATATCTCATTGTTAAGTTGTTTAATATATATAATAATAGAAGATATAAAAATTTTTTTAATGAGGATAACTTTTTTAATGATATTTTTCGAAATCTGCGCCTGAATAGAATTGTTATTGGCATAATTGTTACTATAATATTTTTGTAGTAATATGTATTTTTGATTACTATGGTACATACGCTTTCGAGCTATCGCACTTTAAACTCAGTTTTTTGTAGGAACTGTTGGAACAGTTGTTGAATGATTTTCACAATTTTATGAATCAATTTTTAATCATTTTGAGATGTTTGCACTGCTTAGTTGCTGCATTACCAGGTTCGCCAATGGGCAAACAGGTAATAAATCCCTTTTTAATTTAAGTTGAAATATATTCGAAAAAACGATCTCTGATGAAATCAGAGCCGTAAAACAATATAAAAATTGTTTTAGTTACGGGAAGTTTACACCAAAGCAGTTTACACGAGTAATCTCACAGAATTGTGCGAATATAAAGAATGTCTGAAATTATTGAGATTTTTGTCGAAGGAGGAACTCCTTTCGAAACTCGAATCTATTATAGAGATCATGGAAGATTCCAAAGATTCGATGATTAAGCAAATTAAAATCAATCTCGAGACTCACGTTAACACGATTCGAGAAGCTAGCTTAAACATCACGAAAACTTCTTCCGAAATGATCAGTGTGGAGGAAAAGCTTAGTCGTATGCAACTAAAGGAAGTATGTGCAAATTTTAGTAATTTAATTTAATTTTCGTGCTCGAAATGTTTTCAGCGTAAAAAACGTTATACTATTTTATATTACAAATTATTATAAAACATATATTCATACATATTTCATTTTTAAATAGTATTAAAAAGTAACTATATAAATACATTATTTGTATAATATTTTATACATAGATTTTTTACCATTTTATGTAAAGTGACGAAGTACATTCTTTCTCTTTTTGTGTCGCAATTGAATACAAATAATCGCGATTGCATATTTTAGAGCTGAAAATTATCGAGAAGAATGAAAGAAGAGAATACGGTGATTAGTGATTTCCATTAAATTCTACCTTTTTTTAGAAATTGCTGAAAATGAGTCAGCAGGAGTCGCGTTCTGCTTACAAACAGGCGCAATACGATCTAATCGATTATCTGGATCGGGAAGTCTTTGCCGTTCACCTGGTCGAGCCGAAGCGCGTGACGGCTCACGAGATATTCTGTTACAGCGACGGAAACCAGGCGAAGCGTCATATCCGCGGCTCTTTGAGGGCCGCCATACACACGGGATTGAACGATCCGCAGATGTACCTGGATGTGAGTGGACAAGTTTCGCACGAATGGTTCGCACACGCGATTTCGTTAGTTCAGGCTCCTCGCGTCATCGCACATGTCGGAAACGTTGTACTCGAAAAACGTCGTTTACGGCAAATTTGTACATAGTTGCGAAATTGAGTTTTTAAATAATATAAACGAACATGTATATGTATATATGCACAAAGCTTCGCGTTGTCTGTCCCATGCATTTAATGTTTACGCATTAATGTCAAATATATGAATTTATGTATTTTCAATTTTTGAATCTAGATTCGTGATTTTAAACGGTTAAAAAAGTGTTCTCTTTTATATTCCAATATTTCCGGCTTTTAGCTCTCTTTTTTTCGATTTTTTAAAATGAATATACCAAAATTTGTTATTATTATTATAATCCGTTTTTAAGTACGGTTGATCTTTAGACGAATCAATCTTGCTGCGCGCCTGTCGCGATATTTAATCTTCGCATGAGCGATTCATCGACGACCGTTGAAAAGAAATCGCGCTTATCCGATTTTCACGCGATGCAGTTAATTGGAAATGCATATTTCAGTGCGACTGCTGCAAATTGGAGAACGACGACGACATTCCGCGCACGCTCCCCGACTTGAGTATAATTTATAAGCTACACTTGGAGTCCAGGAAGCTGATCAATATGTACGACTGGCTACAGGTAACAATCCCGGCCCGTGCTCATGTTTACAGGTTAATCCCTGTTACACTTACGGTCACGAACCCGGCCGACCGTCTCGTGATTTTAATCGCTACCGCCGCCGCGAGTGATTCACGCAAGCACGTCATTGTAAGCAAGGCGCATACAAGGGGGTGCCGAGAGCTTTATCGCCGGCCGGTTGTTAGCCGGTAAAATGCTTCTCGTGAAAATTGCGCCGGCGAAAACGTGATCTAAGCTGAACGATTCAACAACGCCGATCGCGAGAGAATTACTGCGGACGTTTAACATACGAGAAATTAAGGCTTTTCTTCAATAAAATCTTTCTCAATATTTTATATTACATTTTTCTAGAAGACATTCTCGGAATTTTAAATTATTCCACATTTTGATCGCATGTTTTTAATTTTATAATATTATTAAGACAATGAAAGACACGTGCAATTGATACATTTCGTTATAGGCGTTCCTGACAATCGTGGATCCGCAAACCCAGGCTACGGAGCAGCGCGACGTGAATCCGCGACTGCAGTATCCTTTACAAAAAGTTTTCGCGCTAAGCAACCCTCCGCGTTTCAACGTGATCGGTTCTCGTTGAGATTCGTTGAGGTTTGAGATTATTACCTACGTTACCTTTGAAATTCATATCACGCCTCCTAACGCGCGGATCCGACTCCGTAGACGTAACTTTAGCGAAGTAGATGCCTCCTAGTTTGAATAATTCGCACGTATTATCTCGCATTTCATCACGTAGTAACTTATCCTTAACGGGGAGGATTCACAGAGCTCGGTTTACTCAAGCGGTTGCTGCCTTACAGTTCCTCGGTTTCATCAAGACTTCACGAAGGAAGACGGATCATGTAAAACGTCTTACGTAATAACAATATTGCGTGTTTGATTGTTTGCCTTGTTCGTTCACACAACTTTATATGTACGCGTGGTAACATGTATTTTTAAAAAGTTTTTATTTTGTATTATTTGTACGAGAATGAATAAAACAGTATTATTGAAATAAACTTTTTAATCATTTGTATCTCTCGCTTTAAATATTTATTCTATTAAATATTTTATACCTTATATTTTAAAATTCGAAGATGTTTATATTGAATGATTTTGAATGCCTGAGGATTAATTTTAATTATGAAAACATGAGGGGGAAATAAAAAAAACTGGACTCGATATATATATATATATATATATATATATAATTTATAATTATATTAATTATAATAATTATAAATGATTATATAATTGCATTTAATGTGCTTATAACTTTACAAATTAAGAAAACTAAGGACATACAGATTCATAGATCCGATCTAGCATTCCAGATTACACACATTTTTACAATGTAATATTTTTTTATCGTTTCCATGATATCTATACGTGTATCCTATGCGTATTTATCTCGATCTCTGTTTCTTCATAACGGAAATTATTATGCCGACTCCACAGTGGAATAATTTAATGACTTGTGCGTGCATTGACGATCGCGCGTTCTCTATATTTACATAAATTTTTACGACACTCGTCGTGATCCCCCCTGAAAATACTTAAAATCCCAAAGCAGACCGACATGCAATTCCTCTTGCGCTCCTTTCCCCCTGGCTCTCAAAAAATCCGCAATATCGATTGCGCCGTCTTTGTGGCGGTGCCGCGTGCCGCGCGTTCCACAGAGTTGCGAAAAAAATTCGACCGAGAGCGCGCGGCAATCATTTCCGCATTTTAACGTGGACGAATATCGATTAATTGGATTTTGTCGACGGTCTTTTTTCTTCTCGCCAAACGACACGGTTGAAAGTTAACATTCCAAGCGACGATTTTTAATCCTTTCGTTCGCGATGATGGATGAAATTTATTTCGTGCCAAAATTTAACGGCAAAGCCTTGTTAACGATTTTTCCAATAAGAAAAAGCGACCGGTATGTTGTGCGGAAATAATTAAACAAATTTTACGAATACTTTTGCAGTTTAAAAGCTTGCGCAGTTATGTAATATTATCGGTCTATCTCTCTAACCCGCATCAAAGTTTCCTATTTTCTATTATACTCGCGACGACATTATCGGCCCTCGTTATACGTCACGTCCTCGCGAACAATTCTCCTGTTACAATCTATTGTCACGAGTATCGTGACGTAGCACATTCGTGGCATAGATTCACCGAGATAACGTTCGGACAAAACCAGACGTAGATCGCCTCCACATATCTCTCTCTCTCTCTCTCGTGGCCAATCGTAGAACAATTCGGGACTCAAAGGAGAGTGACGATGTACGAGAAAGGATTCGGCAAAGGTTACCACCGTCTGTGCATCGATATAGGGGATGCTCTTGGCGCTTGGGTACGTTAACCCTCGGCTCGCCTTTGACTCTTGCCGAGGAAGGACAAGGGATGTGGGGAGGTGCGGAAAGGGGTGAGCTTGGATAGCATCCTTCGTTGTGCTGACAGGAGAGCTCAAGGATATAGGGTAACTTCGGTGTCAAAGGACTGCAAAATTTCCTGGAAGGATCTTTCGCGCCGCGCACACATGGTCCTGTCTGTCATATTTAATTTTTTAATGTAAAAATATCCAGTAATATAATATCAGGATTATTTAGTTTTTAAAAATAATTTTTTTGAGTATTTAATTGTTCCAAATAGAAAATTTATGTGATTCGCGTATTAAAAGCCGCAGGATGCGACACTTGATTTTTAAAATATGAAAAATTCGAAAAACTGAAATATCTATTTATAATAAATATATATGAAATATTGTAATCTGTTTATATAATAAATCTATTATATATATATTTATAATATATCTATATTTATAATAAATATATATATGAAATATTCTAAAATGTAAGAGCTCCAAGGAGTTGGAAAATTCTACTGTTAAAAGTTAAAGAGCTATAGAATTTTTGAAGATCTTATGATATGTACCTATTGAAAAGAGTTACAATAATTCCGATATCAAAGGAAACGAGAGTCCTGCCGCGAGTCGGAGTATTCCGAGGACGTCGTTCTATTGGCCTCCGCGGAGGACTTGGCTAGTATGCAGATGAATGGAGATACGACGCAGCTGGGCTTGCATATCCACTTTGCCTTTGCACGTAGGACGCGACGCGATCGGGTGGTGATATCGATTCGACGCGTTCCCGAAGGTCCCGGATTGACGGCTATCTTACTTCAAATGGACCGACGCGGCGGGACGGTATGACGGGATATAAGATGCATGAAGATCGTGCATTGATAAATAATATGGTTCTCTATACTCTATAAGATTATATACATAAAAGACAAAATCATTTTTTGCTTCTTTACTGCAAATATTTTTTTTTTTTTTCAAAATTTAGTCTTAAAATGAAAATGTTTCAAAACTTGCCAAAAAATGTTCTGCTTAAGAATGAAATTTATTAAAGCCATTCTGTATATTTACCACGTAATCTACGTACGAGAAGTGAATTACAAGTGTCTTACAACGAGATAAATTTTCCAAGAGAAAAGTTTGTTTCAATAACGCCGAATCTGTTTTCTCTTTATCTTTCTCGCGTCCTGTACTGATCCCCCTTATCCGCGTCCCTTTTCTTCCGACTTATCGATCCTCGCGCTTCCACATGCCCCGAAGAAAATCCATTTGCAAGAAAAATCTATGAGGGAGGTCCACTTCTCCAACTCGAGCAAAGTGCAGATACGCGGCGAGAATCAGTTTTCCGGGTCGGAGCTGCCTAACCTCTCGTAACCTTCGTGCTCAATCGACGGCGCGACCTCGATATCCTTTCGGCATCCTCTTTAACTTGTCGCTATCGTTATATCGGATCTGTTCGGCAACGACCGACGGAGAAACGAAGTCTATTTTTTATCCCGCGGTTGTGCGCGCACGCGCCCGCGAACCGACTTGTGTATATTTCTCGAATACGATTGCAGCGATTTCTCTCGCTGAAGCATACAACTCTTCCAACGGGACAAAACGAACAAAACTTTATTCTGTTTCGCGCTCCAAAAAGCCCTTTCTCCGTCATCCTTGAAAAATTGTTTAGCTTCCTCTTCGTCATTCTAAAGATAAATCAAAATAAGTTGACAACTATATTTACATTTATGTACAATTTAATTATCTTATCTTTGAGATAAAGCATGGACCTTAAATATTCCGCTAAACTTCATTATCTCTAATTTTTTATTCGATTTGGAAAATTAAAAAATGTTTATTCTTGATTTTTTCTACCATTTTTTTTATAACTTTCTAAGAATTTATATTTATGTACAATTTAATTCCTTATCTTTGAGATGAAGAAGAGACATTAAATATTCTATTAAATTTCAGTATCTCTTTTTTACTCGACTTGAGAGAATTTAAAAAAAATATTTATTTTTATTTCTGACTTGTTTTAACAATTTTTTTCGTTTTATAATTTTCTAAAGTCATCAAATTTTCGAGACTGATGAGATCGCATATACATATATGTACGCAACAGATACGCATGTGGATGCGAACGATGTTTCGACGTGATGTAATTTAAAATCAACGTGACATTCGGTATCGATAGATGATACGCATAGGGTGATGAGGAATTCGCGATGTCGCCATCGCGTCCGGCGCGGTTTTCACAAGTAGTTACAATTATCAATTATAATAGCGCGCCGACTAATTAGTAAACAGTAGTAATAACAACGCGCGTTTATCGATCAGCCTGGGGAACCGACTGCATCGGTCGCTAATAATCATCGGTTTTGGCCGTTCGCTCGTTTGCCAGATGACCGCGGATTCTCTTATTCGTAAGATACGTCAAATGTATTTTTAATTCGCTTTGGCTGCTATAAATGCAGAAATTATAAATATCAAACCATCTAAGATTTACCTGAGCAAGAATATATATATTTATATCAACTTAATGTAATATAAAGAGGTAGACTATATCAGGAACAGAATATATCATTAATATCTCGAGCTAAAAAAAGTATGACGATAAAAACATGTTTCGAGAAAAAAAATAGAATGTTAAGAAAGAATTTTGTTATCACGACATTTTTAAGTGCCCTATTTATTTGTGCACTCTCTATTTGCGGATTCGAATATTTTGACATACATCCGACTAGTATACGATATATGCTTTTTAATTAAACGGATAAAATCTTTTTTGCTATCCATTAATTTTCTCATATTCGCGTTTTCTGATATAATCTTTCCAAAGAATTATATAGAGTTGTATTCCGTTAAATTTTCTGAAAGATATGAGAATTAATATACGTCTCTTGCGGAGAGCAATCTGTGCGTCACAGTGCTTTTATCTCCAAATACGGCGACACACACGCACGACACATTCGAAGAATCTCCTGAGAGAGCCGCGAATACCGTAGAAAACTACCCTCGGGTATCTCGAAATTTCTCGGCGCAGATGACTACATTTCCCATGGGAGACGGGTCTTCCTTCTCGGACTTATTTTCGTGCAAGATGAAAGGAAGCGCTTGCAGTGGTCATAGAGCGTCGCGAGGAAAGGGAAAGAGAGTTCTTAGAGCTCTCCGCAAACCGTTCTCCGACACGGAAATCAATCTCGACAGCTTCTCGTATCAATCTCGCATCGCACCTGAAGCGCCCAATCACGACCGCGCGGGGTGTCCGTCGTTCGTCCATTTGGGAAAAAAGTTCACCTCGAGAATCCTCGTGAGGCACGAGAGAGAATAGTCGAAGACGGCGAGAAGTAAGAGGGACGATGTCTTCGTCGACGCGATCGCTCGTCCGGATGAGCGGTTGGATATATTGGTTCCCGATAGATCGAACAAATTTTTTACCTCGGGAGAACCGTCGTTTAGGAACACGTACATTTCACGAAATATCGATTTTATATAACATTTGTGAGATATTTGCACATCTAAAATACTAAATTCCTCTCTATGGAGAATGATAAAAAATCTATGAATACAAAGTAATGAATGCAAATTAGCATCTAAAGGGAGAGCTCAAGTCCAATGCGTTGAAGCAGCTTTGCTCGATAATTATCGATCACAGTCGTAGAGAGTAAAAGAGATTGGATGTGACTT